AGTTTAATATTTAATATGCTAAATGTCAAATAACAATTAAAACACATAATTCAAATAGCATGTAACAATTTATGCAGGAATTCAAGAATTCATATTTGACAAAGAATAGGAGAGAAACAATTATTATAATAATTAATTTATGATTTAAAATAATTTATGATTTTTCAAGTAAGCAAGCAAACAATTAATTTCACGACGTATAGACACTCATCACCTCGCCTATACGTCGTTCACATGCATTTCACATAACAAATAATTTAAGGGTTCTATTCCCTAAAGTCAAGGTTAACCATGATACTTACCTCGCTTTGTAAATTCCAATCTATTACTCGACCACAACTTTTCCTTTTAAATTTGTCTCCAAAAGCTTCAAATCTATTCACAAACAATTCGATATACTCAATACGAATCATAGGAATTAATTCCATATGAATTTATAAATTTTTCGGATAAAAACCCGAAATTTATTAAAATATTCGGCAGTGGGACCCACACCTCAAATCCCGAAAAAACTTACGAAATCCGAACACCTATTCCGAGACGAGTTCAACCATACAAAAATTGTCCAATTATGATATCAAATGGACCTTCAAATCTAAATTTCTCGTTTTTGGAAGATTTTAGAAAAATCTGATTTTTCTTTCATAAATTCACGGATTCATGATATAAACGAGTATGGAATCATGAAATATAATCAATATAGGATAAGGAACACTTACCCCAATGTTACCCGTGAAAATCGCCCAAAATTGCGCCTTAACCGAGCTCAAAATGACCAAAATGAGTATAAATGTCGGACTCTTCGATATATACGCTTCTCAGGCATTTCCGCACCTGCGGTGCCTGGGACCGCACATGCAAGCTCGCATATGCGAGAAAAATCTCGCATCTGCGAAATGGGGCTGCCAGGCGAGGCCTCGCACATGCGGAGGAAAAATTCCCACCTGCACTGCCTTCGCTTCTGCGATAATTTGGTCCGCTTCTACGGACGCGCGGGCGCGTGCAGATTTCCGCACCTGCAGATTTTTGCACAGCCACGCCGGGAGCATCTGCAATCGAAGGCTCGCATCTGTGAGAAAAATCCGCAGGTGCGATTACAACAGAAGGAAAAATACAGATTTTGCTTAAGTCCAGTTCTTGATCTGATTTCAATCCGTATCACTCTCGGGGTACTCGAGACCCCGTACGAATATACCAACAAGTCCAATAACATAATACGGACTTACTCGGGGTCTCATATCACGTCAAATAATTCTGAAATTATAATTCACACCCCGATTCAAACTTTGAGTTTTAAACTTTTCAATTTGCAAACCTCGTGCCAAAACATATTAAATAAATCCGGAATGACTTCAAATTTGGCACACAAGTCATAAATGACATAACATAGCTGTTCAAATTTCCAGAATTGGATTCCGGCTCCGATATCAAAAAGTCAACCTCGTGGTCAAACTTGGAATTCTTTAGCCTTTAAATTGCTAGTTCCGTTAAATGGTCATAACTTGAGCTAGGGACCTCCAAATTGAATTCTGGGCATACGACCAAGTCCCAAATCACGATACGGAGCTACCGGAACTATCAAAATACTGATCTGGGTCCGTTTGCTAAAAATGTTGACCAAAGTCAACTCAGTTGAGTTTTTAAGCTCTATTTCACATTTTAATCCTTTTTTCACATGAAAACTTTCCGAAATTTTTTTCGGACTGCGCACGCAAGTCGAGAAATAAAAAATGGTGCTTTCCTAAGTCTTAGAACACATAATTACTTATTAAATTTAAAGATGACATTTTGGGTCATCACATTCTCCACCTCTAAAACAAACGTTCGTCCTCGAACGGAGTTAGAAAAAAAAGTACCTGAGCTGGAGAAAAGGTGTGGATATTTACTCCGCATGTCCGACTCGGACTCCCAGATAGATGACTCTACCGGTTGACCTCTCCATTGCACCCGAACTGAAGGATAACTCTTAGACTTTAACTGTCGGACCTGCCGGGCTAGAATAGCCACGGGCTCCTCCTCGTATGTCAAATCTTTGTCCAATTGGACTGAGCTAAAATCTAACACATGGGACAGATCACCATGATATTTCCGGAGCATAGACACATGGAACACCGGATGAACCGATGATAAACTAGGTGGTAATGCAAACCTGTAGGCTACTTCACCCACCCTTTCAAGAATTTCAAAGGGTCCGATATACCTAGGGCTCAACTTGCCCTTCTTTCCGAACCTCATTACACCTTTCATAGGTGAAACACGGAGCAATATTCTTTCTCCAACCATGAATGCAATATCACGAACTTTACGGTCGGCATAACTCTTTTGCCTAGACTGAGCTGTGCGAAGTCGATCCTGAATAATCTTGACCTTATCCAAGGCATCCTGTACCAAATCGGTACCCAACAACCGAGCCTCTCCTGGTTCAAACCAATAAACTGGCGATCGACATCGCCTTCTGTATAATGACTCATATGGAGCCATCTGAATACTCAACTGGTAGCTATTATTATAAGCAAATTTTGCAAGTGGCAAGAAATGATCCCAAAAACCTCCAAAGTCTATAACACAAGCGCAGAGCATATCTTCCAATATCTGAATAGTGCGCTTTGACTGTCCGTCTGTCTGTGGATGAAATGCTATACTCAACTCCACCCGCGTGCCTAACTCATGCTATACAACCCTCCAGAAATATGAGGTAGATTGCGTACCTCGATCTGAAATAATAGACACGGGCACACCGTGAAGGCGAACAATCTCACAAATGTAAATTTCAGC